CATTTCTACATCTGGAGAATGGGGCTGTTTTATGTCGTCTCCATTCAGAGGGCCCCCTGCCTGTCTTTGCCTAGGGCCCTAGATTTCTTAACTCCTCCCCTGCTTCCAGGGCTGCTTTCCTGCAGGTTTTACAGGTTTCTATGATTCTGATGCCTGAAGTTCAGCAACAGCCTGTTAATCAGCTACCAATGAAAACCAGATGTGCCGGAGCAGGAAACCTGCAGGACAGCTGCACTCTGGACCGGCCTGGTACGGACAACCAACCAGAACCCAAACATCATCAGGATGGAAAGCGTCTCCTGGAGGAGGAGCTGAGGTGGAGCATAAATGTTCTCCATGGCTCCTCAGAGAAGATCTGTTAAAACACAAAAGGATTTATTTTTTTGTGTGTTTTCTATTTCTATGAATCAGGTGTTTTTCCATTGATCGCCATAATCGCGCCCCCTGCTGGTTAATTTTTAGAAGCGGTTTTTCCTCTGCTTCCTTCCACTGACCCTCCACCCAGAGGAGTCTGGGAACATACAGCTGCTGAAGAACGACCACCTGTTTGTTAACCACTGAGAACCATAGACACACCTATAAGAGTAGACCCCGCACTGAATTAGGTCCGCCATCTTGGGGAGGTTGACCTGCTGTCCTAACCTGCTGGTTTAAAGGGAATGCTGTTCTTTTTTCCATTGGTCCTTGATTTTCCGTTATTCCATCATGTTCTACTCTCCCATATGAGTTTAGTGTCATTTGTAGCCGTTCTGAAGATATTCCGTTAGGTTATATCCAGTAACGTCTTCCTATGGGCAACGACTTGAAGGCACAAGTTCACCATCCTGATGATGTTTAGGTTCTGGTTAGTTATCCATACCAGGCCGGTCCAGAGGTGCTCCTAGAGAGCAATAGTGAGCTCTAATACAATCTTCATGGAAGACCTTGCCTCCCGCCAAGAAAATACTAACAATTCATGGCTCAAGCTTGCAAGCGCTCTGGATCCATGTTTTTAAGACTTGAAGAGTCTGTCCAAGAGTGAAAGGGAAGAGGGGTGGACCTCACCTGGAGGCATGCTTCATGAACATTCACCCAGAAGGTCTCTGCTGACTTCTCAAGATGGACCACCAAGGAAGAACATTCACCTTCTACAGATGGGCTCAGATTGAGAGTCAGATGAAGAGGTGCACCCTGACAGAGACATACAGATACAGAGCAGAGCCAAGCATGGGTATGGAGGACTGCCCTATGCAGTGAGGACTACCCTATGCAAGACTGGACTGCCCTATGCAGTGAGGACTGCCCTATGCAAGGCTGGGCTGCCCTATGCAGTGAGGACTACCCTATGCAGTGAGGACT